TGGCTTGTGGCACTTCTTTCTTAAATACCTAAATGTATCATAACAAATAATGATCTACAGAAAACAAACTAAAATTCTAGAACTTCTGTGGTTAGCTGTACTTTATGAAAGTGGTGAAGTAGTGTTCTTTCTGTGGTTTTAATGCTGTACCACCATCACAAGGAAGTGTCATTGTTCAAAATAATGCTTTGTTCCTATGGTATAGTTTTCATCAAATGAGAGACTTTCCGGTAAGTAAATGGCATGCTAAAAATACATTTGGATTTGATAAGGAGTAAGGAACAGTATCTAATTTGTAAGCATTTATCTTGTATAATATATTGGAATATTTGTCTATGTTTTAGATAAATATTTTTACTTTCAAAAAAGTTAATTGTTGTTCATGAGTGTGGTTCTGAATTTGAAGCATTACTTTCTTCCCAGAGGGCAGAAAATTTAATATGCTATTGATAAGTATATCCATATTATTTGTGATAAAGGTAAGTTAAAGAAAAATTTTGCATCAGGAGCCCAGTATGAAAATAAGAGTGTGAATGAATGCAGCTATCAAACAATTGCATCTTGTTGGTTATGTAGTGAGTTAGATTCATTTCTGGTAAATCATGTTAAGTAACAGGAAATTATTGTATCAGGATGTACAGGTAGTAACAGGTGCTTCATTTGTTTAAATATCCAGTAATTAGTAACTGACTTAGTTAGATACCTGTATTGTGGTAACAGGCTGCTTTCCTAACTTTAAAATATAATTGATCATGTATCGTAAGAAGCTTAAGTAGCTTTAATATTACAGGTACTTCTAAGAGTAGTTTCAGAACACTGAAGATGGTGACATTCAATTCATGTTATTCTTAGTGCTGAGAATTCAGAGGGTGGTTACAGTGGAACCAGGTAAGCAAAACTGGTTGCAAAGTCATTTCCACTTGGCACAGAGAATGTGATTCCAGAGTGCACTCAGGAGAAGAGCTTCCACAGGTCAGGGTGTGCATTTGGCGTCTGGTAGACAAGGTGCAGTGTGCCCTCTTCTGAACCAAAGCCAAGATATCACTTTTGCAAAAAATAATTTTAAACAGAGGTTCCAATTAGGGATATTTTTCATGAAAAGGCACATGATAGGTAGGAAAGAGGCTGGTGCACGTAATCTGATGTAGGCTATGAAAAAAACAGAAGTATGTGATTAGGAAAAAAGATAAAAGTCTGAAAGCCTCTGCTGGGAATCAGTATCAGAATCAGAACTCTTCTGATTATTTTTAAATGTAATTTTATGTTTCACTGCTTTCAGGTGAGGTGAGCTTTAAAGAAAACCTAAAATACCACCAGTGATAATTTATAAGAGTGTTGAGAATTTGTGCAATACAGTGTTTATCAAATATTTTCAGCACTTCAGCTGCTATGTTATAAAACGTCAGGATACTGTGATCTCACTGATTGTGTTTGATGTATTAGAAATTTTTTGATCACTATTCATTAAGGTTACATAAGATTATTCTTTCCTGTTGTAGTTTACCATGGTGTGTGCTGTTAAACCAGTATCAGAAACTGTGTTGTGTTTCTGTCTGGATCTTTTGTACCTGGCAGCATATCCCTTATTTGTATTACAGGAATGTCTGTTCAGCCCACTGGGGCTTGATGATAAGTGAGGCACGTAGTGGAGGAGGATCCTCATCTGCAGAGCCTATAGCAGACATAGACAAGCTGGGTGATGTGGGGTGAGAGACAGAGAGGTGAAGAATGAAGTCTTAGCAGTGTTCACCCAGTGTGAGTGGAACAGAGCTCAGCTCCTTTGGCTCTGTCTGTTGAGCCAGGTGTTCTATCAGGGGATGAATTATAATAGTGGAAAGTCTTGTGCATTTGTCAAGATTAGTATATGATATCAAGAACCATCTTTAGTTTTTCTCACTGATCAAAAAAGAAAGGACAAAGAACTTGAGGTTGAGATGAGTACAAAGCTTCCTGCAGATTCTTGAAGCTATTCCATAGTTTATTGGTAAAACCAGTTTGCAGGTTTCAAAGTGACGGCAAGATTTATCCCACTATGGGAAATGTAGAGAAATGTCAGATTTTACTTTAGAATTTACATGTGCAAAAATCTCAAGAAGAGGCACTATGTACTGATATTCCACGTGGAAACAGCCAGGGTGTAGTGCAGTACAGGTAGCACAGAGAGCCAAGCAAGTATTAGCTTCCTGTGGGTTTGAAAATGGTGACTTTGGGTAAGATACTGATACAATATTCATATAACCTTTGCATAATACCACTTACCTATCAGACTGTATTTCTGACCTGCACCTCCCAGGAAACGAATACTTACTCCAGTGCAAAATTTCTTATTCTGCAAAGCTTGACAACTTCGTCTGAGATCACTCTAAGCCAGTTGGCCCTTGCTTAAATATTCATCAGACTTCTGATAATTGTGATAACCCTTGTAGGCTGGCAAGCAAGGCAAATTAGCAAAAAGATGATTGATCTTTTTTTATATGCAGTTTTATCTTCAACCTTTCCTGGATATATGTTATACTATAGTAATAATTTCTTCTCTAAGGTATTTGCCAGTATCTAGATTTGCACATCTATTTACAGTTGCCTTGAAGCCTCATAATTACAATACAGCTGAAATGTCCATTTTCTTTCCCTGACTACAAATAGGGATCAATCGAATTTTAAATGACTGCTCACGGGCTAGCTTCCGATCATGACCTTTGTAAATGATTAGAGCTCACCACTGTTGCTATCTACCTTGAAAGGGTAAGCGGGCAGCTCTGTCTAACTGGCATTTAATCTGGAACAGAGCCAAAGATATTTGAGCTAAAAACCTAATACGAGTTGGCAAAGAGAAGTATGTATAGACCTTTGCACTATTATTTAGATATTTTTCTACATTTCTTTTTTGTATTTAGGAAATTCTTTTACCATGTAGATGAGACATGTATTTTTAGGTAATGTTATACTGAAGTTACAATAATTAATATATAGCACAAAAGTGTGAAAAATGGGGTTTCAAACTCTAAATGACTGAATTCAATTTTCTGAAGAACGTGAAAATACAAAATGGTTTGGTTTGGAAGGGATCTTCAAGATCATCTTGTGCACCCCTTGCCATGAGCAGATACACTCTTTGCTGCCTCAGGTTGCTCTGAGCCCTGTCCAGCCTTGGACACTGCCAGGGATGGAGCAGCCACAGCTTCTCTGGGCAGCCTGTGCCAGGAACTCAGCACCTTCCAAGGAGGATTTTTTCCTTCTATCTAATCCAAATCCACACTCCTTCAGTGTGAGGCCATTGCCTCATATCCTGTCACTCCAGGCCCTTGTCCAAAGTCCCTCTCTGCCTTTCTTGTCAGCTCTCTTTAGGCACTGGAAAGCCCCAGTGAGGTTTTTCTGGGCTTTCTGTTCTCCAGGCTGAGCATTCCCAGTTCCAGCTCAGTGCTGTCAGGATGCTGAGCCTGTGCTTGTTCCCAGTGCCCACATCATGGACAAAGGTGGTTGGCAGTGGCTGAGCCTGAGCCCAGGGCTGCCCAGGGGGCAAGAGGCCAATGGCACCGGCCTGTCTCAGCAGCAGGGTGGGCAGCAGGACCAGGGCAGTGCCTGCCCCTCTGCGCTGGGCACCGCTGAGGCTGCACCTCGAGTGCTGTGCCCAGCCCTGGGCCCTGGTGCCCCTCGCTGGCTCCAGCTCCTTGGTGCTGCCCTCCAGGGCTCTCTGGGTCACCTGCCAGCCCTCCCCTGGCTCTGGGCTGGGCTGGAGCCTGGAACACTCCCTGGCCAGGCTGTGACCAAAGCTGCTCAGGCACACGTGTGTTGGCTGCTGAACTAATTCATCTGAGAACTGCACTGAAGAAGAGGCATGAGGTGGATCTGTTTTTTCTGGACAGAGATGGATGGAGAAAAGACATTCCACACTGGCACGTTTTTGCTTAAACCTCATTTCCTTTTAGCATTGGTTGAGATAGTTCAGGCCCTGCGTTTATGTGCAGATGTGTAGGTAATGGCTGAGACACTTCTATCTCTGCTTGTCAGTTCCGTTTCATTTTAATAAGGAATTGTGCCTGTGTCATTCAATGTTTGTATTACCACCACTGAATTTCTTGAGGTGGTGTTCTGTGCACTGCTGCTGAAGTGGGAACAAGAGTGACCATCACTGGGATTAGAAAGTAGGCACCTCTCAGTTTATTGATAGATTTTGCAAACCCAAGTTTTGAGATTTAATAGGAATTATTGCTATGAGCTATGAATGCTTTTATCTAATTAAGATAATATGCTGTGTTGCCTAATCAATTATTCTTGTGTGGTATTGATCAGAATATTTTTTAGTGTTCCTGGGAATATGACACTTATCATTAACACTCTGAAAGAATTATACAGTTTATAGTGAAAATGCAATCTTGCCTCTCTGTTGGCCAGAGAATTTTCTCCTATTTTCTGTAATGTGCTATATTATTACATAATGAAGCTGGCAGCTGCTTCAAACTAGTCAAATGTATTCTTACCTAAAACATAAGCCCAGAAAACATTTTTTAAATCGGTTTGTAAAGGCTTTGTGTCAGCATTACCTTTGGCTAGCATTTAGATAGAGATATCCTACTAATTTATATATTTTTAAGAAAACATCAAGTATGTTTGAAATTCAAAGTAAATATTCAATATAAATATAAGATAAAAAATGGAGAGTTAAATATTTGAATTGGTATTTACATTCTTCATATCAGTCTTAAACTGGAGATGTGTAGTTTGTATATAGTACTTGCTAAGGCAGTTTTTAATGAAAAGGATGGTGTTTTTGGAAACAGGTGAAATACTTAGAAGCAGAAATCTTGTGAAAAGTCACAAGAAAGAACTTCAGTATCTTCATTATTACTCTATGGCCAGGCTGCTAAAATAGTGCTGGGAGCAGTAAAATGCTCTTGGGGATTGCTTACATGTGACTTCTGCCTGATGTTTGCAGGTCTGAAGATAACTTTTTGATAAGGCAACAGAATAAAAACTAAAGAGGGTTCTTTCCCTGTGTGCAGATGCAGCAGCAGGAGCTGGCCCAGATGAGGCAGAGGGATGCCAACCTGACGGCGCTGGCAGCCATCGGCCCCCGCAAGAAGAGGAAGCTGGATGCTCCTGGCCTGCTGACCATGGGAGGAGAGGTAAGTGTGCACCCAGAGAGGGAAAGCCCTCCTGCAGCACCTCCAGGAACAGCTGGAGCTCTCCTGCTCTGCTGGCAGGGAGGTGTGTCATGTGGAAATGCACATCAGCACAGCAATCTTACAAGACCATCTCCTTGTAGTTGTATTTTCCAGTGTGAATTTTCAGCAGATCAGTAAAGAATGTTTTTTTCAATAGTTGAATGTGAAGTGTAGGTCTTAAACTGTTCGCTGCCTTTATATTTGTTTTCTCCTCTGCATAATCTGAAAAAAAACAAAAAGAGTGGGGAATGAAGAAGTATCTGAAAAAACATAACTGTAGTCTTGCTTACAGTTTGAACCAATAGACTGTAGTAATACCAGTGTGGGTTTGTGCTAAATATGTGTCTAAACGTCTTCTAAAATGTCAAGGTGTCCCCCACAACTGCAAAGATGAGTTTAGAATCATGCTAAATTGTAATTTCCAGAAGAATACTGTGCTCTAGAAATAGGATCAGATTCATTAGCATGATTCTCCTGATATTGTATGTGGAGAAGTAGCTGTGGCTACACAATAAATGCAAAATTGTCGAAAGCCTCATCTATATTAAGCAAGGTGGAGAAGCAGGGTGCTGTGGTGTTCTGCTGTGGGTGGCTCTGTAAGAGCACTGTATTGTTTGGTACAGATACACTTGGGCTGCTTTTCCTTCTGCTGAGTCTGCCCACGCAGTGGAGTCAGAGGAATTCTCCCTATTACATGCCTGTTCTGAGGAAAATGCAAACATTTTGTTTTGAATAGCTAAACTAACAGTTTTGGCTCAGACATTTGACTGTCTAAATGCCAGGCATTTCCAAAGGCCTTTTTGTTTCCCATTTTGGATAGCTTTTATCTGACTTCTCTTCTTGTTTTGTGTGCTAAGATTAGTGCTAGGGAATTAGCTGAGCTAGGAACAGAAGTGGATCCTGTTTACACTCTAAAATTGACTTAGGACTTCAGATATGTAGGAGGTACTCCCGTTTCTGGTAACGTTTATTTCAGACTGAGGGAGTTTCTCAGGTTTTCTGTTGTCCTGTTATTCCCTTCCTTTCAGTCTCCCTCCTTTATCTTAAATTCAGTTAAGAATTCTGTTCTCCACATGCACCTCTAACAAATCTCACAGCAACAGGCCCAAAGATGCTTTCATTAGAAGCTCGACTGGGTGGTCATAGCTTTGGATTTCCCTCATGTAAAAATAATTTGAACCTTTTAATAATACATGGATCCCTTCAGATTTTAACACTTCACCAAAGGAATGTTTTATCTTGAGGAACAGAATTTAATTTTTATTGTCTGTTCCCTTTAAAAAAATACTTTTTTGTAAGTATTAATAACTTGATGAACAAATAGTGGTTACCTTCAGTGAGTGAAGTATTTTAATCAGAGCTTTATATCTGAACAGCTTCCCTAGAAGCTCCTTATTCTCTTGCTGCAGTGCTTTAAGGAAAAATAAAGATCCGGGGTAAATTCCAAAGGCTTCTGGTTATTTTTGCTTCCTTTTGCTGCTCTCCTAGCCTAAATTTTGCTGAACAACTCTATTGTTCCATTGGCAAACTATTCCTGAAGTTTTTGCCGATCCATGGATTTCCTGGAGCCATGAACTGTGTGCCAGTTCAGATGGAATTGCTCCCATCCCTCTTCTCCTAGCTTCAAACCATCCTGGCTAGCTCATATAGATGGCTGGCTGGAAGCTGATTTCAAGGTCTTGGAAACTGTATCTGCATTATTCAATGTCTTTTGTAGGGAACAGGACCTAAAGTACTGCAGGAGCTGTGTCACACAGCTTGGCTCCTAGAAACTCCCTTTCTGGTATTCTGAGTTTATTAGGGCTGCTATGCAGAAATAAACTCAACTCCTCCAAAATGTTTCACTGTAAAAAGGTACTGGAATTTTGTATTCTCTGTCTAAGACTGTCTGATATCTCTTCTTTGGGTTTCTGGAGATTATAAACATCATTATGATTCTGTGTTCTATGGTACCAACACCCCCTGAGCCCAATTCCTCCTTCAAATCTCCAACCTCCTCTATAGTCTATGACACTCTGATTTCTCCCAGCAATTTCTAAGCTGCTTAAAACCCTTTCTACTGGTAATTTCTGCTTGCAAGGTCTGATTTGGCCAGAGCTTTTTTGGCCTGCCCTTTCTTTTGGTCAAAACACAGGTTTTGCATTGAAGTTGCTCATCTCCTTATTAACCTTTTTTGACTTGCATGTCTGCTTTTATTGCAACTGGGACCCTGCATGTTTACTGATCCAAAAAGATGTCACTTACAAATCATCCCACCCTGGCATGTTCCTTTTTCTGTTTTCTAAACTAACTCTTGTTTAACTAAAGTCTTGTTGACTTGACTTAGTTGTATTGGCCATTTTTCAGTGAGCAGTGCTGGTTTTCAGTATTGGTTTCGCAGAAATACTAACAATTTCTTTTTGGAAATTGGATCTTCTTAATAATACCCTTTCCATCTGATCAGGAGGCTAATTTAGAAGTAATGATGGATGTTCTACTTAAGAAGTTGATGGAAAAGATTAGTATTTCTGTATTTAAGTACTGTTTGTTACCAAGAGAAAAACTGTTCCTTCTACAGCTTTTGGAAATGTGAAAAGCTTTTGTTAATAACTGTAAATATTTTCTACCAGCACTTTGTTTGAGAGTATTTTCTTTAAACTTTGTTGTCTGTCTCACATTGCCAAAGCTCATTTGGACTTCTTTGCTTGTTTTCAAGCCATAGCCAAATAGACTTTTTTTGGATGACAGGATTATTATAAATTATCAAGACCAGGCCCATCATTCCTGGACTAGTACAGCTAATATTTTATACTTCTTTTACCTGGGGACATGGAAGATCGGTAGTTTTGGAGTGAGATTATTTTTACTTTTTTTTTTTTTTTTAATTTGCTTCCATGTGCAACCATATGAAAAAATGCCTTTCCAAAACATGGGAACAATATTTTGTACAACGGATGAGCAGGGGCTCTGTATTCCCAAATAACACGGACACCAAGTGAGTGGCTGGTTTCAGACCACGAATACAGAGTGGCCTTGGCTAATGGCACTGTCCCAGTCCCAATCCCTTCCTTTTGCTCTGGCTCCTGCACCCTGGGCTGACCCACCTCCATTTGATAAACAGGAAAAAGACTGATCTAACAACAGTAAAAAGTGAATAGTTCCTGCTTGCTTGTTGAAGTAGTTTGGCCTAGAGCCCAGTGGAAAAGGAACACTGGAAAAGGAACTTATAACCAGACAGAGACAGCAAATGTGAGATCACCTGCACTTGATTTGCTTCCTTTTTAGTACTTTTTGTGTCTGCTCATACTTTAGATGATCTGCTAGAAACACAGCTGCCTCTGTAGCAGCCAGCAGCTCATCAGGAATTCAGCCTGCTTATTATTATAATGTGCTTTAGATCAAGAGTGAAGGAGAAGAGGGAAAGAGAAGCAAGATACCTTTGGAAGGATTCAGCTTCTCTGCCTGGCAGATTTGAAAATACTGCATTTGTGGAATTTTTTAGGGGCTTTCTGTTTCTTTAGTAATACTAGACAAAAATTATTGGGAAATATCTTCTAAAGTCACAGTTTTTTGGAATTCAGTGTGTGATTATCCAGTTAAGTATGTAAGGATCCTGGCCCATGTTATGTGCTTAGCAGCAGTGCTGCCCATGTCTGATCTGTGATCCTGTGACACAAACAGGTTACAACATCCAGGACAGCAAGCCCTGAAGTTTTTCAGTTAGCATCCCTAAGCACCTCTAATGTCAGATTAAATATAAGGTTTGGGTTGCTTTTTACCTTAGTTGCTTTTTGATTGATTTTGAATCCATTCAGTTAATATTTTTTTCTTGAATTATAAGGCTTTTAAGAGTTAGAATTAAAATTTTTGTTTCTTTATGAAATAGATATTTTCATGTAATCGTAAGAGTTGGAGCTTTAGCCATTGCAAGACTAGGTCAGGTAGCTTTATAAGCTAAATATTTGAGTAATGCTAAAGGTGGCATGGATGCAGAATTTGCATATTTTCAAGTCCCTCATTTCTTAATATGGAATTAAAGTGTAAAGGTTAAATACAAGTATTTTTCTCTACTTAATAATAATAATAATAATAATAATAAAATAATTTGGCTTTTCATCAAGACCTATGGCTAGTATGCCAAAAGACATAAATACAGAGTATATGTTTGAAGTATCTGAGGGTATAATTTGTTTAAATATCAAGTAAAAGCCCTCTCCTGGTACTTGCTGGCACAGATGGTTTTTGAATACTGAGCTTCCAAAGGCAGCTTCAGGGCTAGTTCAGTGAATCACTGCTTATTGAAGACAGTCATTTTAGGGATAAGAAAAAGCCCTCTTCCTCACACAGCAGCAGAGCAGTCATCTTAAGAATATTCAGCAAACTATCCCAAACAGCATCTTTCAAAATGTGCAGGACCATATGTTGGGCCAGTGCTCAAGGGAGATCTGATACTCTGGGTGTTATCCGCTATATTCCAGCCATTATATTAGTCAAGAAAGATAATGTTCTTGCAGATGTGGAAAGTCCCAAAACTAAGAGTTACAACAGAGATGTTTTGTGTAGAGCAACGCTAATTACTGAAGTGATTGCAAGATGTATTTTGGGTATGAGGCACCAAATTTTGTAATTAAATTAATCTTTCAGATGGTATAATTTGAGTATTTTAAAGCTGTTTTCACATTTAGGTTTTGTACAAAACATGATTAAGATTGTGGTTTAAGACACTGAAATTTGTGTTGTACCAGAGGCAGACATACAGAAAGTTACTTAATATTACTGTCTGTTAGGTCTTTATACTTTTAGTAACTCCTGATTTCTAAGTGGAAACGTAAGGATGGATTCAGGATTATATGGGAAGCACTTGGGTATGTGCTATAGTGGGAAAAAAGTACTTTTGACTGCAGTCTCTCTTTGGTTATGCAGTACTGAACGTGACTCATTTCAGCTGACATTCTCACCTCATACTTGGGTTATCCATGGAC